CCCGGGCCGCGCGGGGCACGGGCTCCCACCGCGTGGCCAGAGTGCTCGGGAAACAGCCCTGGCGAGAAAGCTGGCCGGAAACGCGCACTCTGATGGGAACGCCCGGGCCCGAAGTAGAGACAGGAGAAGGGTCCGCTGAGCCCACCTGTCCCAGGCTGCAGTCCGCGCGGAGCTGGACTTGGCCTCCCCCCTCCCTCCATTTCCTCTCCCCTCCCGAATTCTGCATGCTCTCCGGACTTCTCCAAAGATTCCCACAGTCGACCCACCCGAGTTCTCTTACCCCTTCTCGTGCCTCCCCTCCTTCTCTCTCTCTCTCTCCCTACACAAAGCCTAACGCTTCGGCCATTTCGTACCCCACTGACCCCTCTTGGAATGCCTGTAGGACTTAGCATCTTCACCACGCAATTATCACTTTATCAGGCCAGGTCTTGCTCGGCACTTATTTCTCTGTGTGTATGTTTTGTGTTCTCTACTATAAGAGGACTGGAGGATGCCACCTCTTATATTTCTCGTGTGGCTTCTGATCTGGTGCTAGGCACACACGAGGGAATCCATAAATACTTGTGGCTTGATCGCAGGTCGCCCTGTGGGATTTCAGTCCACAGGTCGCCGCGGCCATTTCCCACCAGCGAATGGCTCTCTTCCGTCTCCACAAATGTATGCAACAGATGCCGAAGCATCTCTAAGTCAATGCTGGCTGCTCTCCTGAATCGATTCCATAGCTTACGTCAAGTCTGTTGATAGCTGAGAAAAATACTAGGTATTATTTTGCCAGCTGGCAAGATGCTACCCTATGCCTAGGGAGAACCTGGATTAAACAGGTGGTCTGTGGCAAGTCTTCCAGCCTCACACACACAGGAAAAAATAAAATGTATACTATGCCCACCCACAATGGAAGACCTTCAGTGTGTGTCAGCTCAGCTACCAACAACCCAGGGAAAGGAAAAAACACCCCTCTCGCTGCCCTCCACCAGCCCTTTGCAAGTTATTTCTTGGGCATCTACCGCCATCTAATGGAAAGAGTGAAAAAGAAAATGAGATTTACCAGAGCCCAATATGTGAAAAGAGATACTGGCAGCCAAGCAGAATATTTTTGTTGTTGTATAGCAGCTTTCCACACACACAAATCATAGCACATTTTACAAGACTTCATTTAAACCTCAGAATGTAACTGTAAGCTTTTGGCACAAACATAAACTTTCATGCCTAAGGTTCTCAATTTTTCCAGGACAGAACAAACAATTGTACTGGGTCTCAGCTCAGTGAGATGTTACCACACAAACTGGTGGAAGAGGTGGAGGTGTAAGCCAAGAGTGGATTGGCAATCTCTAAAAATTATATCCGCTTACTTAGCATCCACCTAATATTGCTGCTCATTCCCCAGGCAGGATCCTTGGATTGAAGACTGCCTTTACGCAGGCAAGAACTCTGTCACAAGGGCGAATTCCGAGTTAATTCTTAGGGTGTCCCGCCAAAATTCTGTGCCACTGCAGGGACAGTATTATTATAAAATACACGGAAGCATCACTTTTAATTAAAACCTTTTAAAGCTATTCACATAACAGACATTAAGTTATTAACTGTCTTTAAAAATCCTGAAAATGGGTTAAAATGCTTTATCTTCTCATCCAAATCCTGTTTGAAATCCCTGTGGGTGGGTTATCTTAGGCCCCACTGAAAGCATGTGAGACAGACAGAGTGCTACATTCTGACAGTGTCAAATGAATGCTGAAGAGATGGAAAAGGACTCTGAGCATCTATGGAAGCCAAAGAAGAAAGTTTAGGTGAAGAGGGAATGGGAGGATTGCACACTTGAGGAAATAAGTGAGGTCATTATTAGAGCACTTAACTTGGGTACACTGGGTGCAAGTCTGATATAAGAGGCGGTTTGTGCAGCATTTCACTTTTATTATTTTACAGGAAAGCACTTTCCACTGGAGTGTGTCCAAACCAGCATCTGGCACCTGGGAAAGTGAGAGTTCGAACATACTGCACATGAAATATAAATAAAATTTAGAGAATTGTTGGTGCAGCAGGCTTTGGTTAGAAGCCAAATATCACAGCTGCCTTTTAAAGGGGTGTGGAAAAAGGGGATTTGCAATGGAAATGATTCCAAAATCATAATTCTAGTGGGTGTTTGTTACCAGAAGAAGCCCAAGGAGACGCATTTGGCTTTCTGTAAAGAATCGCCAACATCCTTTGGCTTGTGGAAAGTACTCTCTCTGCTTATGCAGTTCAAGAGACCCACTTAAAGAAAATGTCCCTACTGGTATTTAGCTGGTTACATTACATGAATTGATTGGCTATTCTGCAAATTATTATCATTTTAAAATATATATTAAGGAACCACAACATGTCTGACACTGTACAGAACATACACATTACAGAGTTTTCCTTTTGGGAAATTGCATTCTAAGGTGCATGATGTCACACAAAACATGCACAGAACAGATATTTGTCACCTTTAAGATTCATAAATCACATTCCTTAGTCTTCAGGTACAGTAGCGTTCATGCACAAAGATGTATGTGTACAGATATTTATTGATACACTGGTGAAATTAGAAAAAGACTGGAAAACTGGAAAGAGCTTAATTGTGTATCAATGATGATAATTAAATTATGGAACATTCATCGTTTGGAATATAATCTGGTCATTGAAAAGAATTAAGGAGATTTCTACGTATACTGTATTAGTCAGTGTCCTCCAGAGAAACAGAACCAATATGAGAGAAAGAGATTTATTATAAGAAATTGGCTTACATGATTATGGAAGCTGAGAAATCTCAAGATTTGCAGTCAGCCAGCTGGAGACCCAGGAGAGCTGATGGTATGGTTCCAGTCTGAGTACAAAAGCCTGAGAATCAGGACAGCTGATAGTGTAAGTTTTAATCCAAGTCTGAGTCTGAAGGCAGGAAAAGACTTATGTCTCAGCTCGAAGAGAGGCAGAGAGAATGAATTCTCCCTTCCTTCGACTTTTTGTTCTATTCAGGCCTTCAATGAATTGGATGAGGCCCACCTACATTGGGGAGGGCAATCTGCTTTACTCAGTCAACCCATTCACATGTTAATCTCATTCAGAAACACCCACACAGGGCCAGACCCGTGGCTTAGCGGTGGGGTGCGCGCGCTCCACTGCTGGCGGCCCGGGTTCGGATCCCGGGCGCGCACCAAGGCGCCGCTTCTCTGGCCATGCTGAGGCCGTGTCCCACATACAGCAACTGGAAGGATGTGCAACCATGACATACAACTATCTACTGGGGCTTTGGGGGAAAAAATAAAGAAATAAAAATTAAAAAAAAAAAAGAAACACCCTCACAGACAAACCCAGAATAATGTTTAACCAAGTATCTGGACACCCCGTGGCTCAGTCAAGTTGACACATAAAATTAACCATCACAGGTCTACCCCTTGTCAACTTGGCACCCACATGCATCTCCTTAAACCACACTTATTCTCCAAATAAAGACAACAGCAAGGTCACAATTCCACCTAACATGATCCAGCTATCCTGTGTACAACCAAAAATGCACTAACCCCTTCCCCAGAAGAGGAGGTAAAGTCCTTGAGTGGCATTTATTCTTCTCCTTGATATCTTATAACTTAAATACTATGATGTAAAATTAACAATATTAAATACTATGACATAAAGTCAATACATCTTACATTACATGATAAGAGAATAAGAGAGGGAAGAAACAAAGATCTTTGCCACGCACACACACACATACACACACACTCATAACAAAATAAGGCAATTATAGCCGTCATGACAATTATAGCCCTCGTTTCTATGACTGGTCATGTGATGGTAGGTGCTATTTATAACTACCTTCTTCTACTACCCTTTTTGTTTCTCGTTTGCCTTCAGCAAGTACCTCATGGTTCTTTACCTAGTGGAGGGATTCAAACCTTCTTTCCTGAAGGGTCTGGGCCATTAGTGGTCCTGCCTGGATTAGGTTGTTGTCGTTTTCCACTAACTTAATCAAAGAGTATGGTAACTAAGAGGTGCCCTAAGGGACCTCCTGTGTTCCAGACATACTCTTCCTTACCTCCTTTGTGGACTAGTAGTCTAATTTCCTCTTGGTAGTCAGGATTACCCCAGCCAGCACAGTGACTCTCTTCTTTGTCTGTTGATTCAGAGGCACGAGGAGCCCAAAGTGGCTGGGTAGCAGTCTCAACTCCAGTACAATGGGATCATTGTTGTGTCTCCTGGTGGAAGCATTCTTTCCTTTGGAACCAAGACCTCTAGGCCAGCAGAGCATAAGGTCATGGGAGTAAGAAGTAAGACATTTGCTAGTGGGTAACTGGGGTAATAGTGAAGGATGGCACTCCCATTTCCACCCCTTGATTCCTGGACTCATGAATCCTGGCTGTGGGAGAAATAGCCCCATATACTGGGGACTAATTCAGAGCATATACAGCCTTCTGGAGAATCTTGCCCCAGCCATGCAAGGTATTGCCACCTAGCTAGCACTGTAAATGGAATCTTCAAAAGGCCATTCCACCATTCTGTCAAACCA